TCGGTTCATTTTTGTGACGCGCAGTTCCCGGAGACAGAGACGACAGATAGCCTATACTGTTTTTGTCGTTAGCCTAATATGAATACAAGTTTACAGTTTTGAACGATGTAAGCTACTCTACTCTTATCTGTATGACCAAAAAATTACGGAGTCGCCTACTAAGTTATTTTAGCTGTAATAATGAGAAAAATAAATTAATCTAAATGAACGCGCCGCCGTGTTTGTCGAACACTAACTCACCATGCCAGAATAAAACCCGACTTTAGAAAAATGCATAGGGCCACTCGGCGTGGTGTGCCAAAACACTTAATTATAAACTTCAATATTTCATTCAAAATAATCTCAACACGCTTTGTGAAATTTGAAAAGCCGTGCATGCATTCAGGCCACTGGAACTAATGAAAAACTGAAACGCTGGTTTTGATTTTATTGTTTGTCGTTTAAACGTGCCTGTTGCATATCTCTATTTTATATATTTGATATTGGTGAAGTAGCCTATAGCATTGATTAGCTGTGGAGGGAGGGGTGTGGGGATTAAAATAATTCAGCAGAAGCAGGGATTTTTAGACCAGAAGGAAATCACAACCCCCCCTGGCAAATCACACTTTACTTAAAACAATGTTTTTAAAAACTCTAGGTTAGGGAACAGACCTCTCTGCCATGCGCGCGCACGGTTTGGAGCACAATATCTGTCTCGCATGCACGCTCGCTCTAGATAGATTACGGGATATTTTAACTAATTTGCGGTATAATAACTAGTCGATCACGAGTGGCTCAACAGGTATCTATAGATAAACTATATCCTTCAGGAATTTGACCGACCGGGTTGACACTTCAGCGTGAAAAATCGGGGGTGTGGCATGAGAGCCTGGAATAAAAAAAATAATATATATATAGCCTATATATATAGGCTATATATAATTTATTTTTTTACAGAACTGCTTTTGAAATTACGATTGGTAGCCTATTATTATACAGATGCAAAGTCGTTCTGTTGGATACTATTTTGTTTTTTTGTATTTTTACTTAGTGTGAAATGGAAATGCATGAAATGCATGAAATGGAAATGTATTTTATAAATATAAGCAAAAAAAAAAACTGTATGGTGTAACAGAGTTTTAGAGCTAGACAAATCTCTTTGCAATAATAAATATAAAATTTACAGCAGACCATGTTTGTGCGGGATTTGAACCCGTGTCATCTTGATGATGAACCGTAAGTTCTACCGCTCGGCTATGAATTTTCTGACTGAGAAATACCCAAACGTCTGTTTCTGACATGAGCGAGAAAACGTTTTGTCTTTAGCCTGTGAGAGTGTAGGCCTACTTTAGCCTTTTAAAGTTTTAAAAGATTATATCTTATCTGTATGACCAACAATTTGTTGTAGGCTTATTTGGAAATTACCATAACTTGTAGTATTTCATCCTTAGGCTACTGTTAATAGACATTAGCCCCACTTACGTTTTGCTAAATGTCCCTTTGCGCCACCTGGCGGTCATTTCGCGAACGACTTTGCAATGCGACTGGTTTATTTTTACCGCGGTGGATGGCTTTCATTTAAATTTTGATTGTTTGTATATATATATATATATATATGTGTGTGTGTGTGTGTGTGTGTGTGTGTATAAACATTTATTTATTTATATACACTACCGTTCAAAAGTTTGGGGTCGGTACGATTTTAAATACTTTTAAAAGAATTCTCTTCTGCTAACCATGGCTGCGCTTATTTGATTAAAAATACAACAAAAATCAGTTATAGTATTAAATATTATCTCCAGTGTAAATCAGCTGTTTTCTATGTGAATATATAGTAAAGTGTAATTTATTCCTGTGATCAAAGCTGAATTTTCAGCATCACCAGTGTCAGTGTCTTCAGTGTCACATGATCCTTCACAAATCAGTATAATATGAGGATTTGATGCTCAAGAAACATTTATTATTATTATCAATGTTGAAACAGTTGTTGGTCTGTCAGTTGTACAGTTTTTTTGTTTGTTTTAGGATTCTTTGATGAATAGGAAGTTCAAAAGACTTTTGTAACATTATAAATGTCTTTACTGTCACTTTCGATCAAATTAATTATTCCTTGATAAATAAAAGTATTGTTTTCTTTCCTCCAAAAAATAAAAATAAAATTCTCACTGACCCCAAACTTTTGAACGGTAGTGTATATATATTGTCCTTGCATTCTTTTTTGTGTGACACCCCTGAATGAAAGGCTCATTAGTATGCAGTCTGCTCAGGTGAGAACTGCCTAATTATTCATGAGGGGGTTGGGCCGTTCCCCCTATCCGCATATTGCCTTTGCAAACAAAAAAATGTTTTTCACAATTTAAAACAATCTATTGTTTTATGTGAATGATAAGGCAGAATGATTTTCAGATCAATTTGAAGCAAAAACTCTAGGCGATAACATCCACTAGTCAAAAGTCTTGTGGACAAATATTTAGTATGTTATTTGTGGCCTTATATTATAAACTTTATTTTTTAGTTTTTTCAATAACCACGCATAAACAATATTCTCTCAAAAATACAAACATGTACATACATGTTGCTCACATATTATGGTAGCCCTGTGTGTGCTATATAGAGTGTAATTACACCTTTGCCATTAATATGTTTATAAGCAACTGAAAAAAGCACAAATGTCAGAGCATGCCAAAACATCTCAAGGACCCTGAAAACACCTCAGACCCCAGAGGGTTAATGTTTTACAGAAAGAGTGATTTATTCGACAAATTGGTTTAGACTTTTGAGAATTTGGTTCAGATAATGGGGTTTAGTGTTTTAGCCATTCAGAAAAACTGTAATGATTTAATACTTCTACTGTAAATGTCTCAAAGATCAGGCCATTTATTTGAGTTTTTCATTATATTTCATTCATGTATCAGCTTTGATGCTGAGTTTAAAAAAATAAAAAATCAAGACTGATCTAAATGACTATACGACTATATAGTATATAGCTATATAGTAACTAGTGTTGTCAAAATATTCGGTACTTCGGTACCAAGTCGGTACTAAAAATTTTTAAACGTCACGGTACCAAGTCCCGGTGGTACCGAGTACCCAGTCAAACCCGGTTCTGGATGCGCATGCATGCACGAAGGGCGTGAAGTTGCGTCCGCTTCATGAAAGCGCTGAGACATGGCGACCGGCGGCGCTGCTGATGTGGTGTCTGTGTATATTAAACTGCAAAACGACTATTTAAATATGAACCCTTCATCTTCTGCTTGTGTGAATGAACGGCGCAGACGCGCGGTTTCATTAAACGTTACCTCACACACACACACACACACACACACACACACACTGAAGCACGAGTGACGCTCGCGCTGTTTTCAGTCTCTGCTGCCTCACGATATGATGACATGATTCATGATTCAATTCATCTCCGAGAGTCACTTCATGAGCGTTTTACCGTTTCATTTGAGAAAAACTATCGTCATATCATACACACACAGAAACTCAAAGGTCTTCACGGCAACCCGTCAAAATAAAAGTTCGGTTTAACTTAAAGAAATTGACAGAAATAATTATATTAGGCTACTGTACAATAGATTTAACTACGTCTCCATTAATTAAAGATACTACTACTAATAATAATAATGTGTGCATAGAAGGTTGCTTATTTTTCACTTGACTTTTTTTATAAGCAATATTTCTCAATATCATCAATATTTTCGTTTAAACAGCATGTAGCCTTCAATCCTTTCATAAATTTACCATCATAAAAAATAAAGTCATTGAATTGAATTTAATATATATATATATATATATATATATATATATATATATATATATATATATATATATATATTTCAAATAGTTAAAAAAACAATAAAAAAAAAAACAGTTCAAACTGATTTTGCTGTGGTACCGAAATTGGTACCGAGAACCTTAACATTTTAATGGTATCGGTACCGACTACTGGAATTTTGGTACCGTGACATCCCTAATAGTAACACTGTACAAGTCAGTTTAATTCAGTTTAATTACACTGTAGGAACCATTTAACTAGTTATCAATAATAAAAACTTCCAAGCATTTATTAATCTCAGTTTAAGTACAATATTAAGGAATGAATTATTAAAATCAAATGTTGTATATGTTAATATTATTTAATTAACCTTACTTAGCCTGTGTGTGTGTGTGTGTTTGTACAGCAACAATACAAAACAATACGGGAAGAAAACGGGAAACACTATAACAAACTCCAATTAGTTAGTTAATGCATTAAATATTGGTTACAGTATCTTTTATATAAGCTCAGGCCCATCAAATAATAAACAGACACGACTTTTTTTTTTTTAATAATAGATTAGTACATGTTAAAAATAGCAGTAACTCAAATTAATAAATGCTTTAGAAGTATTTTTAACTAATGTAGTAAACTAATGCTAACAAATATAACCTTATTTGAATGATTATTGAAGAACCGGACCTGTGAAAGATTCAACCCAACACTTTCTGTGGCTCAACAATGTGAACATTATTCTTATATTCTGCTCATGATATACTTCAAACTTTAGTCTGAGGGACAAAAACAACACATTTCGCGAATGATCATGACAATTATGTTCTGCTTTACTGTAAAAAAATAAACTCATAGCACTAAAACATACTATTACTAAAGCTGTTATAATGCTGGGTTGTTTCAACGGTCAAATATGGACAAACCCAACCGTTGGTTTTAAATTTTAAATTACATTTTTGAATCCAACGGTTGGGTTTGTCCATATTTGACCTTATAAACAACCCACAATTTATATAGTGTTGTTTTAGAGGAAATTACTATTTAAGTCATTAAGCTCCAAATTATTTGTGGAATTTCGGAGTGAAAACGGTTTCTACAGTTTTTTGTGTTTTCTTTTTGTGAGTGGATTAATAAGTGAAGATTCGTTATGTAAAACATCTCCCTCGCGTATTTAACAAATTAAACTCCTTCTCCAGTGTTTCTAAAGTGTAACGTTATAAAGCTATCCGTGAAGAAGGCTTACCGGCGGCGGGCACCTCGGGTTCGGGTTCTGGTTCGGGTACCTCGGGTTCGGTTCCGGTTCGGGTGCGTGTAGCGCGAGCGCGCTGATGACCAACGCCTCGTGCCTGCGCTTGAGCAGCTCGAGCTCGCAGATTCCCGCCAGACTGAGCTCGAGCCGCTGCTTCTGTCTCCCGCGCTCCGAGGAGAACAAACGGAACATTATTAACGACTCCTTCACCGCAAACACATCTAAAGAGGAGGGAAACCGCACACTTAACGTTACTCTACACCGACAGCCGTTTGTAATGAAGTAAATGTGGTTTCCATGATGAAATCCTGTCAGTTCGAGACTTGAGAGAGTTAACGGTTCCTCTCCTCCTCACGAGCTGCAGGATTCCAGACTTTCCAGTCACAGCTGTCAAGAGCTCATTAGCATATTCTGACCTTCCGCTTTTCATTGGCTGCAGACTTTCTCCGCAAATGAATATTTTTAATAGCCCCGCCCCATTGAGGACCGAGAGCCGTTAAAAATAAATTAACGTATCCACTTCTATATAAAATTAATACATGTATAAATAAATATATAGCTAAATAAATACATGAGGGAATAAATAGATATAAAAATAAATTAAGGCTTAAATATAAAATACATAAAAATAAATAAATGAAAGAGCAAATACAAGTTTAAAAAAAACATGAATAAACACCGAAAATATGAATAAAAAATGATAAACACAGAAAACAGCTACTAAATAAAGGAAATGTAATACAAAAAGAAAAGCAGGAATATTTTTAATAAAAAATTAGTCAAGTAATGTATTACTTTATTTATTTTCAAATTATTAACTTCGTTTAGTTTTATATTATATTTATTGTGGTTTGGAATGCCAGATACTGATATTAAAATGACGTGGATAAAAAAATTGTTTCTTTAAATTCAGATAATTATTAATTTCCTTTCCTTTAACTGAATGGAATGAACGCTTTAAAGATGACAAGTATAATATCAAATAAATAAATAAAAAACAGCAGAATTAAATTACACACCTAATTACTGAAGAAATGTAATGTGACTGAAGTTCGCTGGGGGTGTATGGTGTCAGAGCGCCACCTATCGGAATCACATGATCATTACACAAGCAGACATTTACATAAACCAGCAAGATCTCATGATGAATAGAACAACTTTTACAGTTTATAATAATAAACACAAAATGTGTTCAAGATAAATATACCGCAAAATCAATACCCACGACACAAATTACGAGGAAAATGAGCAATAAGCTTGAAGCATTTGCATTTATGTGGCTTTGATTTCATCATTTGTTGAAAGAGCTCAACGAGAATTAGCATTTCTGTCAAATCTTTAGCTTTTTAATCTCGATATCAGATAGACTTATTCGATTTATTATGTACATATCTTAGTTATTTCACTTAGGATGCAATTACTCAGTGTTAGAGTCATTAGACAGTTGTTTAACCCTCTACAGGACATAATCATTTACAAATTACATTTAAATTTAACATTTTTTTTTGAGTAATATCATGACATCCCCTTCAGCCAATAAAGTGACATCATATACCGAAATCAGAAAATACAGTTAAGAAAGGGAGAAGAAGTTGAAGATGAAGGAGGAGTGTGTGTGTGTGTGTGTGTGTGTGTGTGTGTGTGTGTGTGTGTGTGTGTGTGTGTGTGTGTGTGTGTGTGTGAAGTTTCAGACAATTTTCCAAAAAATAATTTACCCTAATAGGACAAAGTCCGTTATAAATGATGCACCCTAAAAATGTGAGCTGTGATCTCAAAATTTGACACACACAGACACACTCTCTCTCTCTCTCTCTCTCTCTCAAACACACACACTGTAAACCCTAATGCTCAAAATAATTAATTGGTTTGAGTAGGACAAACTTAAATTAAACAAATTAGTTCAGTCAAATTAACTTTTATGAGTATTTAGCACTTTCTTTTTCTTTCAAGTTCACTGAACTGATATATTTTAAGTAAACTGAACTGTTTCATTGTTTTGAGTTTTATGAAATGATTTATTTTAATTTAGACGAACTTAAGTTTAACTGAAACAGCTGGGATGTCTATTTCCCAGCATGCTTTGCCGATGGCACTCGAAAGGGAGAGTAAATGCTAAAATTAAGTGTAATATAATGTTTTTTTGTGTGTAAGATTAATGTTATGTGTGAGATTTAGTAGTGATTCATGTTTTGTTATGCTAATTTAGAAGAATTTCTGTTAATGTTGGCTTTAGGATAGTTACCATCATGGTGACAAGTGGTGCATGCAGCTTGATTTGAGAGCAAATAATCCATTTACATTACTGTGCTCATACAGTGTTTCTGTATAACATACTATTGCTAATATGTTAGCATTTACTATGTTAGCAGATTAGCTTTTTAAAGCTAACTAAGTTTATACTAATAAAAATATTTTGAGTTTTGCCAACTTATTTGGGTTTACAGTGTACTTCATAGATTTAAGTTATATTAACTGAATGGAATTAGTACAATTAACTTTATTTACCCAAGTTTTCTTAACAATAAGTTATTGAGTTACTTGAACACAAATCAAATATTTTTTTAAGCTTAAATTGTCTGAGTTAATAAACTTAAATGATTTAAGGCAATCGGTTTCCTCAAACGGTTTGAGTTGAACTAACTCATCAGGTTTTACAGTGCACACAGAAACTTGAGAAACACTCTCACTCTCACTCAGACGCACACACACACACACACACACACACACACACACACACACACACACACACACACACACACACACACACACACACACACACACACACACACACACACACACACACACAACCTCACTCAGACACAGAAACACACACACACACACACACACACACACACACACACACACACCCTCACTCAGACACACAAACACACACACACACACACACACAGAAACACTCTCACTCAGACGCGCACACACACACACACAGAAACACTTTCACTCAGACACACACACACATTATTAGTCCCACAGAGGGTTTAAATGAGTGCCAGTACCAGCAGAGGGCGCGCGTGCACAGTGAGTCACTCCACCGAGAACTGAACTGAGCATTTGATTGATTTGTGTGTGTGTGTGTGTGTGTGTGTTAGACTGGTGTTACTGGAGCTGCAGTGAAAACACAGTCTCACACACACTCTCCGTTACATACACCGATGAGTGTGTTAGCTGCTCACACACACCAGTCTGTACCGTCACTAATGTGGGCCTCGTGGCTCTCTGTGCCCTTGCAGAGCTGATAACAGAGTGTGTGTGTGTGTGTGTGTGTGTGTGTGTGTGTGTGTGTGTGTAAGAGCTCAGGTCACACTGAAAGAGGATTAGCTGCGGTCCTGGGGCCGATAGTGTGTGTGTGTGTGTGTGTGCTGACCTCTATCACCCGACAGCCTGGGACATCAAAAAAAAAATTCAGCTGAAAATCAAAAGGAAGAAATAAATTATATTATGCATCAAGAAAATTAAATCTATTTTAAGCCCATTAACATCTTGTCCTCCTCGTGACACCGACAACTGAGCAAACGCTGTGGACAATAGTGCAGAGAGCTGTTTTAGATTTAGGAAAAAAATGTGTATTACACTGCATCTGACAGAGGCTTCAGAGGCGTGTGTGTGTGTGCGTGTGCGTGTGTTAAAATAATGACAAACAGCAGAAATAGAAAACATTTCTAAATTCTCTTTATTTGACAATCTTATTGGTGGAGATTCCAGAGTAATCACCGAAGGAGCCTCTGCTGACATCATAACTGTTACAACACACACACACGTACACACACACACTCTCTCTCTCTCTCTCACACACACACACACACACACACAACCATACACACACACTCTCTCTCTCACACACACACAACCATACACACACACACTCTCTCTCTCTCTCTCACACACACACACACACACACACACACACACACACACACAACCATACACACACACACACACTCTCTCTCTCTCACACACACACACACACACACACACAACCATACACACAGACACACTCTCTCTCTCTCACACACACACGCATACACACACACACACACCATACACTCACTCTCTCTCTCTCTCTCTCTCTCTCTCTCTCTCTCTCTCTCTCTCTCTCTCTCTCTCTCTCTCTCTCTCTCTCTCTCTCTCTCTCTCTCTCTCTCTCTCTCTCTCTCTCTCTCTCTCTCTCACACACACACACACACACACACACACACACACACACACACACACACACACACACACACACACACACACACACACACACACACAGCTTCAATGCGTTACACTTCCCAAAATAAAAGACGTGATCATGACAAAACTTACTCACGGACTCCTGAATCCAAATATCAATAAATAAAGCAAATAAAACACAAGGAATAACATATATAACACACTGAAGATTCCTTTGTTTTGATGGAGAGGTCGTGACCCCAAACCCACCAATCACAGAGATGCAAACACACGACATCATCAGCAGAACAGCCGGACACGCCTCAGCTCAAACTAACCAATCAGAATAAAGAATATTAAACATATGAACGTCGTCCTCTGGGCAGCAGTTCCTCAAGCGACTCGCGCCAGAACATCATCATGAGTCAGTGTAATCTAAGAGGAGTAATCGTGGAGTGACAGAAGTAAACAGCAGAGACTCGACGAGAGAACACACTCATCTCAGGACGTCTGCGATCATCTGTGGTCTGAGGACACACACACACACACACACACACAGGTCGAGAACTGATGCAGGTTAAACGAGGTGACAGACTGAAGACGTTTGAAGCTTATTTGTATGTTAATATCATCATCTCAAAAAATTTAATAATTCTAAAAAATTTCAATTTTTTAAACTGACTATTTTTAACACTACACTGCCATTCAAAAGTTTGGAGTCAGTAACTTTTTTTCACCCAAAAGAAATGTATGCTTTTATGCATCAAAAGTGACAGTAAAGATATTAAAAATAAAGTTACAAAAGATTATATTTCAAATAAATGCTGTTCTTTAGATCTTTCTATTCATCAAAAAATCCTGAAAAATAAAATGTATCACAGTTTCAACACAAATATGAACTGTTTCCATCACTGATAATAATGAATGTTTCTTGAGCATCAGATCATCATATTAGAGTGATTTCTGCAGGATCATGTGACACTGAAGACTGGAGTAATGATGCTGAAACTCAGCTTTGATCACAGGAATAAATTACACTTTACTGTATATTCACATAGAAAACTGCTGATTTACATTCTAATAATATTTCACTGTTGCAACTCTATTTGTAATCAAATAAAAGCAGCGTTGGTGAGCAGAAGAGCCTGTCACAATCATCACAACTCCAGACTTTTGAACGGAAGTGTCTGATGGGAAATCCTCATGAAAACCACAGCGATGCTAACTAGCCTAACTAGGCTAACGACTCGCGAAACAACGCTGTTTGGAAGTTAGTCGGACCGAAACACGAACAAACAACAACAAACGAGTTCAACGTGTTCGTTCGACAGCTGAAAATAATCGTTCTGAAAGTGATCCCAGCGATATCGTTCCTCTTTATCCTTATAGTTGTGTGCGAACTCTGCTATTCTTTAATATGGAGAACGATTTTTAGAACTATATCTTTATCTTTATCGTTATCGTCCTTGGTGTGAACGGGCCTTTAGTGTGACGGAGGAGGGCGATGTTTCAAATATCAACAATGTCCAACAGCGTTTTAGAAATATAGCTTGCTTACCCCACCTTTAAATCCAGGTGTAAACATCATGTGATCCTTCCGGTCAGTTAGTCAGGATTAACGATACCATAGACTGAAGAAATGTGTGTGTAGTGTGTGTGACGTCACCCGTAGTGTTTCTGAAGCCCAAAGTGGGCGGAGCCGGCCGTCGCCATCTTGTCCGCGCGTCACTCCCGGATAAGCGAACATGTGCAGCGAGGCGGATTAGCTGAGGTGACGCTAACACACAGCAGACAAACGGCTAGTAGTGACATCAGCGGCAATCCGCCTGTCACTCAAGTGGCCACGCCCTTAATTATGCAGAACTTTAAGGGTTAATATAATTTAAACGGATGAGTTATAAAAAACATTCACCCCCCTCACAGTCGTCATGAAGAGCAAAATTAGCAATATAGACCAAAACCACTTTTTGCACCAGACTGTAAACATGTGTTCTTCTGCTGTAAAGTTGGGCATTTTAACATGCGGGTCTATGGGACTGAGTCTCTTCTGCAGCCGGCCTCTAGTGGCCAGTGGAGGAACTGCAGGTTAAGGCTCTTCAGTGTCGGCCTTTAAACCTCTGATCTACAGTCTGGGCCGGTTCTATCTGAACACAGGCTGATGGTTGCCGCCGTATCCGTGTCCCAGCATGCTCTCCTTGATGCAGGGCGGATGGATCTCGCTAATCAGGCTCTCCAGAGACCGAAGGCTAGTGCTCGTGCTGAGGAGCGAGGCCCGGCTCCGGCTCGGATCCGCGGGATACGGCACGAGTCCGGGATCGATGAGCGACGGTCCGGTCGAGATGCAGTCGCCGTTCCAAGCAGTCGCGAAGAACTGTCCGAACGACGGAGACGCTAGCTGAGATCGATAGCAGAGATCGGAAGAGCGACTCCCGTGTGGAATTCCCCGGTTCTCCCAATAATCCGATCCCAATCCGGTAACGCCTGCGCTTTGAGTTGGCAACACGGCTCCGGAATAAGCGAAACTGGATTCGGCGAAGGACGGGCTGGGATGAACGTACGGGTTCTGGCGGTGTCTGTTACGCGGAGCCACCGCCATTTTGGCTCGTTTGACATCAAACACGCCTTTGGTCTTAGCGATCGCTAACAGGCCCTGGTAGCCGCGGGCGTACGGATGCGGGCCGGAGCCGAGCCGCGTGTCCAGGCCGTTGACGGTTCTGCTGACGTGCTTGTGCGTCGGGACCCGGATGTTGGAGGGGAAGATCTTGATTGACAGCGGGGCGTCGAGTGTCTTCTGTGCGTAGGCGTTCAGCTCGGCCACGGACGGGTGGCGAAGGGAGTGTGTGGGGTTCGGCTCGCCTGCGGGGAGAGAGAGAGAGAGAGAGAGAGAGAGAGAGAGAGAGAGAGAGAGAGAGAGAGAGAGAGAGAGAGAGAGAGAGAGAGAGAGAGAGAGAGAGAGAGAGAGAGAGAGAGAGAGAGAGAGAGAGAGAGAGAGAGAGAGAGAGAGAGAGAGAGAGAGAGAGAGAGAGAGAGAGAGAGAGATTTTTTTTTTTATTTTTAGAATCAATTTATTAAAATATGTGTTAACATTTTATACAACTTTACACACACCTAAGAGATAATTAAAAAAAATAAAATTAAAAAATATGATTACTTTAACTCTCTTACAAAAACAATTTTTTCAGCATCAACTGAACACAGAGCATTACAACACCACTGCATTTCAAAATCTTTTATCGTGTTCATCAATTTATGAAAGTTAAAATCAATAAGAATTCTTGATTTTACCATATTTTTAAAAACTAAAACAACATCTTGTCCTGGCTTTTCTTCTATCTTATTTCTCCTAGTGATATAGACAGCATATTTTGCTTGTCCCACAATAAAATTAATGACATGACATTTGAACTTTTGTTTTGAACTATAAAAGAAACCCAAAATATAATCTTGCTTTGAAAAACAAATATCAAAAACATCTAAAAACACACTTAATAAGTCAAAAAGAGGGTTGAGTCGATAACAGTACATAAAACAATGAAAAATGGTCTCTCGTTCAAGACAAAAAGGACATTTGTCACTTACAGTGGGGTTTAAAATAGATACAAAGGCATTTACAGCAATAGCTCCATGTAAAATCCTCCATTGCAAATCACAAAGTTTCTTTTTTAATGGTGGTTTGTAAAGTGCTCGCCAAACAGGCTTAGTTTCAGAATTAATTCCTAATTTTTCTCTCCATACCGTATCTGTTTTGATACTTAAATTACGTTGATGAATAACTTTCACAATGCATTTATACAATATTTTCCCTTCTACTGTACAAAAATCAATATACTCATTAACTCCACATTCTAACAAAGGGCTATTAAGACAAGACTCCTCTATAACAGGGCAAATTTCAAGATCTGGAAAAAGATCTTTACTATCAGGGATTAAAGTCCCTGCACCAAACTCTCCTAAAAGCGTCTTCTCTTCAACAGTTAACACTTGAGTTATTTTGTCAAGAAACTTCTTTGCAAAACGTACTGATCTAACTCCTAAAAGAATAGCAACTTTTTCAGCTCTCAGTAAATTATAACCTGATTTATTTATGATGTTTTTTAGCTTAAAAAGCTTTTTATTACATAATATATTTGTTAGACCAGGAAAGTCTTCTCCTGAAGTATCAAACCTAGCTCCAAATACAACTGGTTCTTCCAACAACCAATGAAGAGAAGTTGCTGGTTCCATCCACCGATGTTTAAAGAAACCCCACACTTTGAACAAGTTTTGATAAAAAGGAGGAATTCCAGTAAAAGTCAATCTTTTATGATCCATTAAAAACAAAGTTAAATCTATTTCCATATTTCCCACTCTTCTCAAGATGCTCAAAGCCAAAGGTCTCCACGCAAGTGAGTACGGTCCCATCAAAAGTTTCTGTATGTATTGGAGACGGTAAGTGGCTCTTCTGCTGGCGAGGTTAACCAGACCTTGACCTCCTTCTTCTTTGGGCAAGAACAGAATGCTTTGAGGAGTCCAGTGATACTTGTCCCAAAAAAAGTTTACCAGTTCTCTTTGAATATTTACAAGCAGTCCATTTGGAGGGTCAACACAGGCAAGTTTATGCCATAATGAAGATGCCACAAGATTATTAATTATAAGAATACGTCCTCTATAAGATATCTGAGGGAGCAACCATTTCCATTTTTCCAATCGACCTTTTTTTTTTTTCCAACAATATGTTTATTTGTCTTTTTTTTTTTTTTTAAATGACATACAACAAAACCCCCTCTCAGACACAAAATACAATGTTACCATATATAAAATGTTATATCCGTAATGTCTTTTGACACAAGTTAACAGAGACCAACCATCTCCCAAAGAGCAGGTCGCGGACTGTAAAAATTATTCATGAGCGTCGTCCTCCTCTTGACCTTCTGTTAAGTCTGTGCCTTCTGCAAAAAGCATGAAAGGTCTCCAAATACTATCAAACAAGTCCTTTTTTCCTTTTAGCAAGTAAGTGATGCGTTCCAATGGAAGTGTAGCCAACATCTGCTTAACCCATTGTCCAATACTTGGTCCTCTTATGTTTTTCCAGTGCAGTGCAATCAACATTTTAGCTTGCAATAAACATATATCAATGAACGTCTTCTCGCCTTTTGTATATCCTGCGTGCTTGGGATATAAGCCTAAAATTATAAAAGAAGGTTTCAGAGGAAGGTCTTTAGAAATTATATCCTTCACAGATTGCTTTATTGCTCCCCAAAATGTCCTTATTTCTCTGCATTCCCAAATACAATGAAACAATGTTCCCTTTTCTTCTTCACACTTTGTACATATGTCTGGGATATTTGGATTGTATTGGTTTAATTTGGCAGGAGTAACATAAACACGCATTAGCCACTTGTATTGTAATAATCTCAACCTAGAATTTACAGTTTGCTTATGTGCTTTACTACAAGCCAATTCCCACTCGTCTAGTGATACATTTTTTTGTAGATCTTTCTTCCAGGCTTCTAATTTTAAGGTTGAGTTATCTGGGGAGTGTGATAACAGTAGTTTATAAAGTTGTGAAATTGCTCCCCTATTAAAGCTATTTTCACTTATCATTTCTTCTAACTTAGATTTGGGTGGTTTCAATAAATTGCTTTGTTTTGTTCCTATATAACTTCTAAGTTGGAGATACTTGAAAAAATATTTCTTTTGAATGTTGAATTTATGTCTAAGCATGTCGAATGACATCATGTTGTCTGAGTCTGTTGGATATAGATCTTGAATTTTCTCCAACCCATTTAAGGCCCATTGCTTAAACACTGTATCGGCTCTCCCCGGGGAGAACTTCTGATTTCCCCAAATTGGGGTTAGCCGTGATAAAATAACTGGTTCTTTAATATATCTTTTAACATTATACCACACCTTAACCATGTTTTTAACTATTGGATTTTTAGTTTTCTTCATCAAATTAGCTTCTGTATCAGAAAAAAGGTACAAAGGCAACGGAGGGCTCGAAATGTTACTTTCCATTTCTGTCCATTGGGGGGCGTCTTTTTTGCTAAAATAGTACCCTATAGATCTAAGCTGAGCTGCCCAGTAGTACCATACAACATTTGGGCACATCAAGCCTCCTTCATGGTAGGGCAAATGGAGTAACGACAGTCTTATTCTAGCACGTTTGTTTGACCATATAAAATCAAGGAGCAATTTCTTAAATGTTTTAAACCAGTCAGCAGGGGGAGGCAAGGGAATATTCTGAAAAACATACAACAGTTTTGGAAGTATATTCATTTTGTAAATATTAATTCGACCAATAAGAGACATGGGAAGAAGAGTCCATCTGTTGACACAATCTCTAATTTCGTTAGTAAACGATTCATAATTATGCTGAACAATTAAATCTAAATTTGGAAGGATATGTATTCCTAAGTAAGTAAATTTAGAAACTGATTTGAATTGTGAAACAACTATAGGTGGATTTTCTCTCTCTCTTTTATCTAGCAACAAGATAGAAGATTTTAATCTGTTAATTACATATCCTGAAATATGACCAAACTCCTCAATTAGTTTTAACAAAGCAGGAATAGATGAATTTAGTTGTGAAAGGAATACAATTATATCATCTGCAACGACAGTCTGTGTTCTACCTGACCAATTGTAATTCCGGTTATGTGTAAGTGTGACCGTACTGCTAAAGCCAAGGGCTCAATTGCTAAAGTGAAGAGTAACGGAGATAATGGACACCCCTGCCGACATCCCCGTTTAACTAAAATTGGTTTAGATACGTTTTTATTTGTTAAAATCTCTGCAGTTGGATGTAAATATAATAACTGTATCCATTTTCGAATTTTTGGACCAAATCCAAAGCATCTCAACACGTCAAAAAGATAGGCCCACTCTACTCTGTCAAATGCTTTTTCGGCATCCAGGGAGAGAAGGGCCGTATCCTTAGTGTCGACTAATGCTTGAATGACATTGAGAACCCTCCTAACATTGTGCAGACCTTGCCGTCCCAAAACAAAGCCGTTTTGATCCCTGTGGATGATCAATGGAAGGGTTTCCTGTAAACGAGTTGCTAGTAATTTGCTGATTATTTTAAGATCTGAGTTAAGCAGGCTTATTGGCCTCATATTCTCACATTTATCCCTAGATTTTCCAGGCTTAGGTAATAAGATAATTAATGCATTGACCATTGAGTTAGGGAGGTCCCCATCTATAAAAGCTTCCTGTAACATTTCCAATATTGGCTTTACCAACTTTCCCTTAAACTTTTTGTAAAAGTCGATTGGAAACCCATCAGGTCCAGCTTTTTTACCTGTACTCATATTATCAATTATTTTGACTATTTCATCTTCACTAATGTCCCGGTCTAATTGTTGGCTAAGGTCTTCTGCGATAGTTGGTATGTTTAACTTGTCTAAGAATATTTTTTGTGTGTTTAGATCTGTATGGCCCTGAGAATCATACAGTTTTTCATAATAATTTCTAAATTCTTTATTTATCTCTAATGGATCCACAATTGTTTCTCCTTTTGTATTTATTATTGTAGTTATATTTTTTTGTGCTTCCAATTGTTTAATTTGCCATGCTAAAATCTTACCGGGCTTTTCCCCCTGTTCATAAAAAGACTGATTTAACCTTAGTATGTTGGAGGCTGCCCTATCCGCTGTAGCTTTATTATACTGTGCTTTTAACAGCAACAGCTCTTTTTCTGCTTGTGAATTCTTATCTCTAAACAACTGCTTCTCCAAATTCTTTATTTTTTCTTCTAATTGTTGTCTTTTCTTGCGCAGTTCTTTAGATTTTGAAGAAGTATAAGAAATTATATAACCCCTTATACAGGCCTTAAAGGCATCCCATTTGACACGAGCAGTGGTTTGTGTTGTGTT